ACTGAAGACTTGTCACATTTACACTTTGATAATCTCCTTGAGATCATAATTAGATTTTCATTTATAAATTAATTTGGGAAGTATCTACATGTTCACAATATAGAGTCTTCATATCCGTAAATATGACATATACCTTCAATTATTCAAATTGCTTTTCAATTGCCCTTGAGAAAAATCCTACAGGTATTGTTAATATATATTTCTTAAGACTCTCCTGGAAGTTTAACATTTTTTTCTGTTAATATTCATGAAGTCTTGTTTTACTGTATATTACTAGATATTGTTAGCGTATTTTTGAAGAGTATTTATTTGTAACGTATTTTTGGCTCATTTGCTAAACTATTAATTCACATGTTTTTTTAGCTTATCTTTAATTCTCCATTTTAAACAATATTATTTACAAATAATAATTTTGCTCCTGTTTTACAATTTTACTGTTAGTTTCTTTTTCACTTATGATAACATCTAGAATACTACTAAATAATTCAGATAAAAGAAGGCATCCTTGACTTCTGCTGACTTTAACAACAATACATTTCACATTATGCCATTAAGTTGGCCTTTGACCATCCCAATTTTGGAGTGATAACTAAGATTTGTCAAAGTCATCATCCCTCTATGTACTTAAAATACCACAATTTCTCAGAAGGATGGGAGATACAAAATACCTTTGGTACCTTCCTAATTTAATTCCTTTAAATTGGCTCCCTGCAGCACTACAGTAGACAGTAGGCAATCCTCGGAGTTCCTGGCAAGTGAATGGCACTCTTTCCTAGTCTCCAGGGCCCATTCATAATCTGTCCAATGATTTGAATTCCTTTGTGCATTTCAATTTAGTGGTAATAATAATGATTACAATAATAAAGCAGCTAACATTTGAATGCTTATTACACAGGCAGCACTTTACAAGTGCTTTAGTTGGACTAGCTCAATAAATCCTCACAACTATTATATGTGGTAGGTCCAAATACTTCCCCAGTATACAGACTAGAAATTGAGCACAGAGTAGTTAAGTAACTTGTACAAGAACACATAGCAGGTAAACCAAGAAAGGGAAACTAGACTCAGGAATTCTGTCCTGCACTGCATGGCCTCTGTAGAAGAGCAATGGAAGAGATGAGACAAAGGCCTCCTTTAACCTAAAGCATTCCTATTTCCCTCCCTCTTTTTAAAAGATAAAAGGGGAAAAAGTGTTACAATTCATCTGTTGATGTAGGCAGCACATTTTATAAAAGTTATTAGTTTTTGTATAAAAATTTAGAGATATACTTTATCTAAAAATTAAAACATATTCATATATGTCATTTGAAAATGAAAGTCCCAGTAAAGCAAATACTGCTTTGTGAGCATATAATTTAAGAATAGAGACATAAAATAACAAAAACTTCTGAAGGCACCCCTAAAGAGCTTTTCTTGCCTTCTCACCTACAGAAAAGAATATACCAAATGATTTTCTCTACGTTTATTCCAGTGATTATCAACCCTGTCTATGTCTTTTTGGGAGTGTAACAAAGTTGGTAAGCCAATTTTTTCCACTTTAACACATATGCCATTTTTTGGGATTCTAAGGAACTGAGGTAAATATAGCATTTAAAAGACCCAGAGCATAAAAAAACTATAAATTTCAAAAAAGAAAATCCAAACCTATTCTCTAAGAAAACAATGTTCAAGGAAAGGTTTGCTTTGCAATCCAATTCAAAGCGTCACAATCCTTATGGCTCAGAATTTTGAAAGGCTCTTATAATTTTGCTGGAAGCACAGATATTGCCTATACTCTCAAACTAAATTAGACACTCTGGGATATTGCATTAACTCTTTCTGATTAAAGAAACTTCATACCAGATTATATATCACATTATACCAATTTTCAGTCTTATAGGAATTGAAAAGACTCTTTACTGAAAATTATTCTTCTCCTGTTATTAGAATCTTGTTTAAACAAAATAGATCATAACTCCCTAAGGACAGAAACAATGTTTCATCAAACTTTAAAACAGTACTTATTAGCAGGAAGCTGAGCAGGCCTAAGTGTTTGCTGAATCTGGGGTGGGGGGAATGAAATAATCCAAAATTATGTCCACATAATAAACCCAAATTATGGGTGTGTAATGATCTTTTTCACAAGTGAAGTCCCCATTTACTTTGTGTAAATTAGCCACCTCATCTACACATGGCCAGCTGCTTAGGCCAGCTGCTTAAGCCTCCAGATGTCTTGGCCCAGTTCCCTCCCTGGAATGCAGGCACTTCCTTCGGTGGGGCCAGGTTTCCGCCAGGGATCCAACCCCAGGCCCCAGTTGCCTTCTCTCAGTTGTCCTGGTTCCCCCTTGTTCCAGCCACAGCTCCCAGGGTCAGTGGCGACCACTGTTCTTTCCAGCAAGTCCCTTGTCCTTGGCAAGTGGAGAGGGGACGTCTCCTTTTCCCTGCCCCCATATCTGGCTGCAGCAAGGAAGAAGGAAGGCTGGAGGACAGGACAAAGAAACCAGATGGAGGGTACTGCCCTAACTGCTTTGCTCAATCCTCAAAGCCCCCAAACCTCCTTCCCTCTCTGACCAGCACCTTGGCCCCGCCCACTCTTACCTTCACCCCTCTCCCAATCACTCCACCCCCGCAGCCCTACTCAGATGTCCTGGGCCCTTCCTAGACCTCTCTGGGGATCCTTGGGAAGTACAGCCCTGGAATCTGCACTTTTAAAATTCCCCAGTTGAGTCTAGTGCACCTGAAGTTTGAGACCCACTGTCCTTGCTCTCTTTATCCTCCTCAAAGTATGAGAGCCCCAGGAAGCCAGTGTGGGCTTCCGCATTTGCCCCTCTGTGGTCACCTGCAGGCTGCTCTTCCACAACTGCAGGACGTTTTCCTGACTATAGAAAAATTTTCCCATCCATGTTACACCTTTCCCTTACATGTATACTTTATAACTATAATAATATTTGACTTCAAATTCACACAGCATCTTCACAAACTCTCCATTTTCCCAAAAACCTTGTATTTATTCCCATTTTACAAATGAAAAACAGGGCCTCAAAAAGATTATTTCCCCCAAAAGCACACAGCTGGTAAATGGCAAGAACCAGCTGAACCTAGGTGTTCTAATTTCAAATCTGGATCTCCTTCCACT